GGCGCCAACTGCACCGACTGCGTCAACAGCTACACCTGCACCTGCCCCTCCGGCTTCAGCGGCATCCACTGCGAGAACAACACACCCGACTGCACGGAGAGGTACAGCCCCACACGGCTCCTGCCGCGGGCACAGCCTTTGCTGGGGCTGGGGCGGGGGGCTGAGGTCCCAGTGCTGCGCCGTAGCCCCGGGTGGGTTTGTGGGGGCTTTGGGGTGGAGCACGACCGGCGGTGACTCACGGGGACGTGATGTCTGTGTTCCCAGCTCCTGCTTCAATGGTGGGACCTGTGTGGATGGCATCAACACCTTCACCTGCATCTGCCTGCCCGGCTTCACGGGCAGCTACTGCGAGCACGACATTAATGAGTGCGACTCCAAGCCGTGCCTGAACGGGGGCACGTGTCAGGACAGCTACGGGACGTACAAGTGCACTTGTCCCCAGGGATACACCGGGCTCAACTGCCAGGTAGAGGAGCCTTGGGCTGGCAGCCACCGAGCCCAGCATGTGTCGTGCGTGCTGGCTGTAGTGATTTTGGGGGTCACTGCAGTCTGCACTCCTGCAGAAGCCCTGCTGGGTCCTGACCCCCATCTCGTGCTCTGCTCCCCCCAGAACCTGGTGCGATGGTGCGACTCCTCTCCCTGCAAAAACGGCGGCAAGTGCTGGCAGACCAACAACCTGTACCGCTGCGAGTGCAACAGCGGGTGGACAGGGCTCTACTGCGATGTCCCCAGTGTCTCCTGCGAGGTGGCTGCTAAGCAGCAAGGTGAGTCCCTGCCGTGTGTACGGGCAGGGTGGGGTCCCCATGTGCCCCCCTGTGCTGGGCTCTGAGCAGGGACATAGAATCAGAGTCACAGGATGGTTTGGGTGGGAAGGGACCTTAAAGCCCATCCAGGGCCACCCCCTGCCATGGGCAGGGACACCTCCCACCAGCCCAGGTTGCCCAAAGCCTCATCCAGCCTGGCCTTGAACCCCTCCAGGGATGGGGCATCCACAGCTTCTCTGGGCAACCTGGGCCACTGCCTCACCCCCCGCACAGGAAAACATTTCCTCCTAATATCTCATCTAAATCTCCCCTCTTTCAGCTTAAAACCATCCCCCCTTGTCCTGTTGTAACACCCCCTGATAGAGAGCTTCCCCATCTCACGAGACACACTCATTTCTCTTGGTGGGGATCTCTGGCACAAGCAGAGGGATTGCTGTAAGGTGCCCACCCGAGGCTGCGGTCCTGGTGGCCAGGACGTGGTGTCACCGAGATCCCCATGTCTCACTCTGCTCTCCCTGGCAGGTATCGACGTAGCACACCTCTGCAGGAATTCGGGGCTCTGTGTGGACACCGGCAACACTCATTTCTGCCGCTGCCAGGCCGGCTACACCGGCAGCTACTGCGAGGAGCAGGTGGACGAGTGCTCCCCAAACCCCTGCCAGAATGGAGCCACCTGCACGGACTACCTGGGGGGCTACTCCTGCGAGGTGGGTGCCGCGGGGGGAGAGATGCATGGGGAGAAAGCCCCAGTTACTGCCTGTCTGCTGCCCCAGTGCCAGGCGAGCTG